GGAAGGAAGAAACCATGAGAAACGGCCCAGAACCCGAGAAATGGGACCCCTTCCTTGCCCGTTGATTTGCGCATTGATGCGACTCTCATCGCTGTGCCCTCTTCAACACTACGCTCTCTCTGCTATCTAATCACTCGCCACGTATAGACCTGCGGCGAGTGATTAGATAGTCGGTGGGCGTACCCCGCCAACCGCGCCAAGAGTGAGCCATGCTAGATCGCCGAGGTCAAATCTTTCGCTGCCAATTGCGCGTCGGTCCGCACCTCAGGAGTCGCCTGTCTCCCCAGAGTCAACCCTGCGTTGCGCAGTTCGCAACGGCACGTTGAGAGATCCTCAACGCACGCTGTATGGGCGGAGACGCAGACGGCTCGAGCATGCGAGTGTGAATGTTCGCGCGAGAGAACGTGTCTAATCGGGCGAAACTGCGCAACGTGGCCGTTGAGAACTGCGCAACGCAGGGTTGACTCTGCTCCCCACTATGCAATTTCCCCTTCTTTGACCTTGTTTCTTGTCGTAAATCCCTCCTTTAAGTTTTGCATATCAATGATTCAGTGCAATGGAAACTGGCCAGATGGACTGGTAATTTTTCCTTGTCAGCAGTGAATATTCAACACGCGCTGCGGATGAAACAAATAATTTTTTAAATGCTCGTGGGATTCCATTCGAGAATAAATTTCGAACGGAAATCGAACGCGTGAAGCATTCAAAACAGGCTCTTCTAGTATCACTGAGCGGGCAGTTCAAGAGCTTTATTCTTTTTCCTCAATGAGAGAAATCGGACAGAACTAAGCCGAGAATCTTTCCAAGAACCGAGTCGTCCCGCTGAAATTAACTCCCCTACGAGGGTGATTCTTTTTGTTCATAAAACATCATTTTAACTCGTAGGTCCAATGTATTCTCATTAAATCCTCGGTACAAACAAAAAAAGGAATTGAAATCTGTACCTTTGCAATGACACGGGCAAGCATTGAGTTCCCTTGAATCTGGCGGAGAAGCTGCTCATATTGGCTGGAGTGAGTGAACGCCTCGTCAAAAACGAATGAGCCAACGGAGCTCGAAATATTACTCAAAAGTTTGAACATATCTGAATTAAACAAACTGATAAGGCCATACTGACAGGCTGTTCATACAGAATTTTGAATACACAGAAATTCAGTAAAGCCGGAGAACCGGCGGCAATAGCAAAGTTGATCACAAAATCAGAGAACAGGGTACCCGCAAAAAATACCAGATGCGTTCCGGTTCGTAGGATTGAACAATAGCAAAGAAGGGAATACGGAAATAAAGCATTACAACATGTTTCTGTCTTATTTCATTCTTATTCAGAATACAGACAACTCTTCAGCCAACATGTGTTCAACCTTTTCCTCGTATTTTTTTGACATCGATCACCTGTTCTACAACTCTCTCTCTCTCTGATTATCTCTTTCTCCGATTCTCTCAAAACGCTGTCTGACACAAAGTAGAGGTCGATATACTCACCATTAATACAACTTTGGATATCGTGGGACAAAACAGCTCGTAGAGAGTTAATCGCAGAAGAAGGGATCCATTTCTGAACAAGATACGTCAACTTGCCTGCGACAGAGTCTACCGATCAAACCTCTGAATATCACTTACTATAAACAAAGCGCTAGTCTCTATCCGTGCCTATCTGTTACAAAATCCGATCCTGAAGAATCATATATCGAGCTCGGGTCAAAACTGGGAGCGCCACGCATCGAGGTGGGCGGTTCTGGAACTTTGTGCTCGGATCTAATCGTAAGACAGTCCAGAGGTCGGCAAAGGTGGACAAAATTGGCGAATGAGGAAAGTTTGATTGCAGGGTCAAGCGTGCGTTGAGGAATCCTCGACACGTCACAGGGGGGGGGGGTCGTATTGGCCCGCTGGGGGAAGAGATCGGGCCATTTTGATGCAGTAGGATCATCACCGTCGGAGGACAAACATCAAGGATCGAGTCGATGCCAGGCCAGAGGATTTCCAATGAACAATGATATTTCACCCACACAAAATTTTCGTGATTCTGAGGCGTCCGGTAATTCTTAGTTACTTCAGTGTTTTATCACCACACAAGTTAAAGAATCTGAATTTCGCACGCTTTCCAAGAGATATTTCATCTTTCAAGTAAGACCCCGAATCTGAAGGGATGTGAGGTACACGGCGCATCCGAGAAAGGGTCTAGTTGTTGCGCGCGCTTCAACTACGGCTCCTTGGACAAACAACCTCAATTCAGGAACAATCGAGAGAATTCTGAAAGTGTCCGTGCGCATTTACAGGGAGGTGTACACCATTCAACATTGCGTTAACGGACTCTTCAGGGTTAAATTTATAAACATGTAACCTTTAAAGTTGAGAAACGCTAATCAATCACTTTTCTTAGAAGAGAAAAGCAGTGATTCCAAATCTGCTCTTACTTTAGTACATGATCGCCCCATATACCGTTCGTTGCCGCCCGCAGTCCGGCAGCGAAGATTTGACCTCGGCGATCTAGCATGGCTCACTCTTGGCGCGGTTGGCGGGGTACGCCCACCGACTATCTAATCACTCGCCGCAGGTCTATACGTGGCGAGTGATTAGATAGCAGAGAGAGCGTTGAAGAGGGCACAGCGATGAGAGTCGCATCAATGCGCAAATCAACGGGCAAGGAAGGGGTCCCATTTCTCGGGTTCTGGGCCGTTTCTCATGGTTCTTCCTTCTTTCGTGTACCACTCACCATCCCTAACTTAATTTGAAATGGGTTGCTTTTTCATCGTAAATTCGTCCTTTAGGGAATATGAATGCTTCAAAATAAAAGAAGCAACAGAAACAGTTTGACTGCTAAAAAAACGTAAACTAACGTAGAGATGAGTCTTAGATTCAGCTCTCAGATAAAAATGCACCCCGTAATACAGGAGGAGTACATGCAGTTGCAAAGCGGAAGTTCTGTAGTGCGCGCAGAACATTAGTAATCCCGTTGCAGTGCATGTGGATTCACGGCCCCTACACGGCCCAGAAGCAGCAGGGCAGAGTTGTTACTATACGCACGGCCGCAACAAATGTTCACAGAACTCTTGCTGCCGATGGGTTTAATTAGCTGCTTTCAGACGAATTTAACCAGTTGCAGCACTGGCTCTAACTGAGATCGAGCAAGAATGAAGGTACACTTCGCGATTAGATTGCTGGGATCCCATCAGCGAGTGGGGTAACAGGATTAGCAAGCACTAAGGTTGTCCTATTCTCACGGTTCAGAATAAGGCGACTACGCTATAGCCTTGTCAGTATCCCACCGCAGCTCCTATTGCTCGCAATTCAACACCCAGATAGCTGCGCCCTCGCCTACGACGTGTTCTGTCGCGTGTTCTCTCTACTCGCCATGGCTAGATCACAACCAAATTAATTCAAATTCATTTAGAATTTTTCCTCGCACAAAAACCATTTATTGTAAGTTTAGGGCCGCGATGCTTCAACTAGGTTTGATCACACTTTTGACAACTTTTATTGTAACGGTAATCAGCTAGTGTTGGACTTTGCGGGGCCAGTGATTGCTAGCGAATCGAGGTGTAGGAGCGTTGCATCAGCGGATCGAACCATGTAATAGCGACTCGACACTGTTTGAAAGTTATGGGACTCCTCATTTGCACGTTGATCTTGCCCCATTCGCGAGCTTTCATGCCCTCTCACTTCTCATGCCCTCGTGAGCCCAGGAAAGCGGCGAGAGCCAGTGTTCAAAGGTAGTCCTGCGATTTTCAAACAGTCGAGTCGCTATTACACCGTTCGAACCGCTCGTCACGCCGGTATCCCTCGAATCGCTAGCGAAGCGCTGGATTCGCAAAGTCTGACACCGGCCTTGCGTTGTCTTCCACCCACTTTTTCATAGTACTGTATTCACAGTGGCAATGAAATGAAAACAAGTACAAATGACCGAATAAATGACTACCCGAAGCAAGACCCTTCGCTTCTAAGAATGAAGAGCTCAAAACATTTCTGTCGAAACCAAAGTTAGCTATCTATTAATTGAAATTAAAGTCCGGAAAGCCAAAACTTCAACGATCGCTAAAAGAGCTGACTGTAGCTGCAACAGTGCACCAACAAAACTTGCATTACACGTGCTGCGACAGCACACTCTCAAACAATCGAACATCTGCACTTCAGCGTGGTACAGCCTCCTCACTAAAAAATCAACCTCCTGCACTAAAAAATTACAAAAGACTCACTGCGGGTGCCAATCCTCTCTCCATCAAATCCTTAGCCGTTCCTCGGAGGATTGCATCAACCTCCTCCCGCCACATGTCATGTCCATTGATGTCAACATGCTCGCACATATAAATGAATCCACGATGAAATGGATGGAGATTTAGCGAAAGAATCTTGAGGACGTCTAAAACCAGAAATTAGGCCGCTAGACTCCAGATGTCAATGAGAGCTTTCGAACCTTCAAGAGAGGAATTCTTATCCAGCATAGTCAGTAGCGAAGGAAGTTCCAAAGCGAGCTCGCGGCGAATTCCTTCTTCTAGGAGCTCCTGCAATATGTACATATTTTTTCATGAGAAAGAGCTATGGTAACTTCATAGCTTGTTACCTTCGGGTTGATGCTAATCATGCCCACTTTCTTGAGTGCCATTTTGGAAACACCAAGACTGAGATTAGAGATTGTGTATGTTGATTCCGCAAGACGAAAATTGTCATCAAAATCAGCCATCTCCCTTGCCTGAAAACGAATAATGTGGACAGACGTAGACGAGAACTTGAGCTGACAACAAACTAATAATAACCGAGAGTTGACAGTATGTGCCATAAGTAGGACTTCATTCAGCACCGTCTATTGGGGCCGAACTGTGAAAATTGAAGTTTGCGAAAAAGATATCCCGAAATACTGATCCAGTTCAGCGCTGCTCTCCATGTGTTGAGAACTCGCGACACTGCTGAAACTGCGCCGAGTTTCAAGCAGAAATCGACACATCATCAAACAGTTACCAAATCACTACGTAAAGTACTATGGTGTCTACTCTTAATCCACAGGTATTACCTGGCGCACATCAAAAATTGCAAAAGTCAGGGCCGATTAATCATTTTAGTGTCAACTGAAGCCTTCAATTTTCCCAGTTTACCATGGTCTTCTGTGTCACATCGTTCTATGACAGTGATCGCTGTAATCGTTGAAACAAAACAAAAATGCTAAATCATGGGCAGGGAACAGCATACGCAACAACAAGAAAGCAGTAGTGATCATCACGGTCCCAAAAAACTATCAGGAAACTAGGACCGAATGTCATTTAACCCCTTTTTCAGCATTCTTATGACAATGATTACATTCGATTTGTTTTGCTTCTTCATTCTCGTGGTAATATTTCGATTGCTAACTACGACAAAATCGACAGCATTATGCAAAAAGAAATCAAAACTCACAGCGCTTTTATCCAAAACTGGTTCCCACTGGCGTTGCAAAGCTGGGCAAAGGGTGTTCTTCAGAACCGAAAACAACTTGTTTGGGATGGTCTGAAGTATAGCACGTAACCGTCGTTCCAGGTGGTACGAGTACGCGCGACCAATCAGACTGAAACTTTCCTTGTATAACAACTCCAGAGTCACCTTAATGAGAGAAGTGCTCACTTCTTCTTTTCTTTGTTTTCGAATCGTTCACACATAGTTGAAATCGAAATCGAAAGTTTGAAGAAAAGTGCTCGGACAACGTTGACATTGGAGGACTCCAGTATTCTACGTTGTATACGAGGCGTCCAATCATCTTAAAACGAAAGCATTATCCTACTCACTGCGCACGCCCACACGAACTACAGGCATTACCACAACGATTTTACCCAATAATAGGCCACAAATACGATGGATCCGCGTAACGCTGTGCTTGGCGTTCATCTTCTTCACGAACGTTGTACAGTGCAGAGAGGCAGTCCAGTTGTGTTCCCAACTTTTGCAAGTGCTGTGCCAAAGCGAGGTTTCCACTCAAATCGTACATCTCGTCAACCTATATGGTAGTGTTTTATAGAAATGTAATTGTTACAGGAAGTTTCACTAACCTAAACAGTATGTTGAGATAACTCTTACTAAATAAGTGTTACCTGAGCAATTCTTCTCTTTGCTTGAATGACAGATTCACCATTCTTTTTGTCTTCAAGGTCCAATTCTTCCAGGGTTTTCTTCATTAGCAGAAACCAATCATGCAATTTCGCTGAAAAAAAGAGCGAGGTGAAAACGTGAGTTCAACCATTTGATATTGATCAAATATGAAAGCGGATTGGCGAAATGGTGTGCCAACGAAAAGAAAACATAGGAAAAGCATCAAACACTAAAGGAAAGGGACCCTCATGTTTATTCGTTTTGGAGCAATTATTGATCAGAAGTTAAGGAATGGGCAAGGTTACCCCGAAAGAAGAGAAAACATGGCAAAATTACGTGGTCCAGACCTTATATGCGGAATTCATCTTCAAAATCAAGATTGCAGGAGCATGACGACGATACCACTGACGCGAATAACCACACTGTGAGGCGTAGCTATTTCAAAAGTAGCGCTGTTTTACAAACATAATCTAACTGCGCAGCTATCCTTGCGCCATTCGCCTTGAATATGCTATGTCTTGCTTCCCTCATATCTACTACTGCTTCTGTTGGCAGACACACTTCCCTCGTTGTCAACCGATGTCGTACTCACTGTCTTCAAGTTCCTCGACTGGTCTGACATCTACTCTCTAACTTCGGAAGTGGTTACTCTGTAGTGGGATCAATTCACCATCATCAGCCACTGAGCTCCCCTTCTCCTCCGACCTATCGATTTTATACCGAACAAGTTAATTCAGGTATATTTCAAAAAGAAAGTTCAAGCCTCACTCTTTTTATCCTTGTTTAGCGAAGTAAAACCTTGAGAAAACAGTTGCGCCATCTCAGCAATTATTGAACAAGTGGCATTAGTACACTTTTGAATTCTCTCCGCTTTGTTACGTAGACATTCTCTATACGCCTGCAAAATGGTTGACGTCATTTCTCAGCGACAAACCACTTACTACAAATGCACATACCGCAAAGAAATCCATTTCAAAATTTGAGGCTCGCAAAAGGAGTACCAGCGCTTGAGCATCAAACTGTGAGTATATATCAATGGCTTGCACATATGACGACGCCTTCTTGGATGATGTCTTGGCTGAAAATTGGACTGAACTCGGAGAGACATTTGATTCGTTTGGACAGAATCTCTCTAGCCCTTCAAGTAGCCGAGCTATGACAAAATATTGGTCTGCAGCAGATGTTGGGTTGCAATTCCTGTTTAGTATTGACTATGTAGATGGCAAAGATGCGATTAGAGAGGAAGCTCATGATGCAAAGGCAGCCTACCGCAGATCGAGGTAGATATGGCACCGACAAGGATGAAGAAGAAACCAAGAGAAACAGCCCAGAAGATGAGAAATAGGACGTCCATTAATTTACGCATATGCAGCTCTAAACTCTTAGTAACACACTCGCTGCTCAACGGCTGGTCAGGTGGCGAGAGTATGGGCGAGCTACGACAATAGCGGCGCGGGGACGTCTATGCTAGATAGCAGAAAGCACATTCTTCGCTGCGAGTCGTGTGTCGGTTCGCATTCTCAGGGGTTCTGCCCGTATTTTTACTAGGTAGGCTAACCTCTCTTCGACCCCAACCATCGAGGGATTCTCTTATAACACGACACGTATCATAAACAGCAATGTAGTAACTCACACATGTGAAGAATTAACCATCTTAGAGACGAGTTATACTGCGAAATCAGACGAATATGTGCGTCAAAATTATTGGGTGAGATTTTACCCTAAAAATGTTGGAGTTTGAAATAAAGCTGCTATTATGAAACCCTGAAAGCTCATTGGTGAGCCCAATGTCTTTAGCAAATAAACTGATAACACAACTCACTTGAGGGATGCTCAGTTTGCTCAGGGCATTGTAGTGATACGAAGCCATGCTCTTTGCCTTGTTTAGATCCACTTGATTAGTGAGCGCCGTCAGCGCAGCTCGATATGACTGCCAGTAATCCAGTAAATTTACATTCAAACCAAGACCTAACTGTATCACCTAAACCATGAAAAATTGAAAAGCGGAAATCAGTCCAATCAAAGCACCTACCCATTCGTCACGAAAGAAATCTTCCACAATCTGACGCATTTTTATGGCGTCATTCTTAAGTGTAGAAGGTTTGAAAACGAGGCAAATAAAAATCCATTTGATCAGCGTACTTCTATCCACATACAACTTCCCAAAGTCATTCGTTCCCTAAAGAGTAACAATGAAATTTAGGGCATTAACGCCAATTCTTATTCAAATAATGCTGTATGCACAAAAATATCCTGTTTTTGATTGAATGCTCATGCCACGATCAACAGCTACCAATAATGGTCAAACTGCCACTGTGCAATTCCCACTCGTCGTGATTGTGCTCAAAAAGGAGCAGAAGTCGCACTTAGACATCGCATTTTGCGAAGAAATGAGGAGAGGGAACTACTTAAGATTTGGAAATGTTTTCACTCAATTCAGAAAATTTTTGGGAATAGTACGATCCCTCAGGGACGGCTACAGGTCCCACAATTTTGTCTACCGCACTGGTTGATCTGGCACTTATATCCATGTTATGCAGTCTCGCTTGCTCGATTATCACATTTCCGAGAATGGCCAGCAATAATCGCAATGTTTTCGAAAGCGATCGAACGAATGAATTAAGCAATGACGAACTAGTCGAAAGACCAAAATGGAATAAAATAAAAACAGTGGTAGTTCCCTACCTCTCTGTGTATAGTTTCACAACAAGAAAGACACTTTTCAACGAAAGATTCACTGAGCTTCAGTCGACTGAAACAAAACATAAAGGATAGCATCTGATCGTATAAGCAGCAAAGATATAAGATTGTGCTACTCACTCAAAAAGATAGCCAGGTTCCGAATTAGTAGGATGCATCCTCAAAAAATCCACCAAAAACTCAACATTTCGGCGTTCATCACTAGAAAAATTTACTCGACAATTGTTAAAAAAGTGAGAAAATAGTGACTCACCGCTTATTTCTGTAGACGCTACAATAGATTCGCTTCCTGTATAGCCCCGGGTCAAAGAAGTTTTCAAGATACATAAGGATCATTCCTATGTGGAACAATATATCAACATCCATGATATCCAAATACGAAATTCCCACTCTTTCATTACCGACCTGGTCACAATATCTGGAATAACTACCCACTGGTACGTTGATTCGAAAGTAATCATGACAAGCATCAATCAATAGATAGCAAAAATACATTTTCGAAATCGGGTCAAATAGCTTTATGCAGCAAATGCGGGATGTGCCACGTCCAATTTTACTTCCCATTCAGAATGGTCCAATGTCATTGAAACAACACGGCCTCGATGACTTGTGTGGCCAGCCATCCTATCGCAACCTAAAAATGCCGATCTATAGTCAGTTCTTTGTACCGTCTAAGTGCCTAGGACATCTACATTGAAGAAACCCGAAACTTCTTCGGGTTACAATTTATCGGCACCCTAAAAGTCAGACATTACGCTAATGGCCGGAAAATTCATCGGACAGAACAAATTGCACAAAATACAGGTTCAATCGGCGAATCTCAATCGTCAAAGGGCTAAGTGAATACATTGAAGGAAGAGTATCACTCGAGTAAGCAGAACCATGATTTAAATGATCATAAGAAATGGAAACCCACTCTTTTAAGCTACACAAAAAGTTGGCAAGTGCTTGAAAAAGCGCAGAAAATCGAGTGATTAGGTCACCATTGGCACTGTAGAAACTGTCTTGTAACTCCTGAAAGACGGTTGACATAATTGAGAATATTTCAATAGATTCGATTCAAAAACTGAATAGAGGTGGAAATGGTATCGTTCCGAAATTCTTAGATGACGACGTTCAGCCCCCAGTGTGCTTTACAGGCGCCCAAAGCTGAGTCATTCCAGGTTTCGTAAGGTATGCTTCTCCAAACAGGAGAAGGAACCCCTCCATGGTAAGGTATGCTCTCTCCCCTGAAGACCTTCTCCGGAAAGAGTCCACGACCGACCAAGTTCTCGAGATATCCCGGATTGAACATGCAACGTCGGGAGCGCCCGGTGGCACTGCCTTTCCCCGAGAGTTTTCGGGGGAGCACACCTTACCAGGGAGGGGTTCCTATCCTGTTCGGGGAAGCATACAATACGGCCCCAGCAGGTTGCGGTTTGCTAGGACAGGAAGCGACTTTTCAGCCTTCGCAACCGAAACCTTTTTCTTTGCGCCGAAACTCAGGTCACTCCTAATCTGTTGTGGAGAAAAACCGGCGAAAAGCGGAAAGTCGCTTTCTGTCCTAGCGTACCACACCCATCATCCCATAACTCCTTTAAAGATCGCAAATTAAAATTGTTGCCATTGATGATAAGTATAGCGACAATGAACGCTAATGCTATCCATGGATCTATCTGAATTACGAGAGCATTCATTGTAATACTCCACACAGCCCACAATAATCAAAAGTTTTGCTGGGAGAAGGTACCGGGCATGTGAACCGCTCCGCCTTCGCTGTCATACCCAGCCGGAACTTCCTTCTCCTGCTAAAAGTGCGGTCGCAGGCGACACAAGCTACTCATCCTTTTTTCCACATTCCTCATTTAAAACAGATGGACCTCTAAAAATAGCCAGGACTGTAGTACAAACCAAAAAAATTGTTGTGAAAAGACGCGGCCAAAATGCATCACTATAAAGCATTAGTAGATGATAGCGTGCCTATCTTGAAACTTGAACTACCTTCCACGGGTATAGAGGCTTAGTAACCACTTCAAAAAAACTGTACGTACCTCGTTCTCCTCGATAATCTTTTCGTAGTGGGCTGTTCGAGTGAAGTAGTTGAAGTCAAGAATTAACAGCTTATATTTTGAAGATGACGGATCTAAGAAATCCGGTGGAACGAATCCAGCCAACCTTACGATCTCCGCAAGAATACAGTTCGCCTCTTCTCGGACATTCATCAGAAAAGATTCGCTCGCTGTCGATGTCATTTTGGTTAGGCCAGGCATACCTAAATCAGCTGCGGTTCTGTACCCAACCCATCACAATGCGTTTAGTATCTTTGCGACAACGTTGAGTCCGTACGCAGAAAATGGTGGTTACTGAGGTAACAGTAAGGAAAAATGAGAGGCTACAAACGGGGGTGCTAAAGTAGTTGGGGGAGGCAGTCGCTGTCGCGGCGCGCAGCATGCCTGTACCCTTTAGAGGAAACGAGGAATCCGGAAGCTAGGGAAGTGTAGCTATTTCAAGGTGCTGTGGCTGACACGAGCCACTTGAGGCTGATGTCATAGTCAGCGATTCGTCGCGCAAATCGCGCGACGGACCGCAGGAATCACAAATGCCCCGACCAATACTGCGAGGTGCTCTCTACCCGATACCATTTCTGCTTGATAGTGATGATTGAATGAAGGCTGTTTACGACATCACTTGTTTCATATCCAGTGCTTCAAATGTTCAAATGAAGCACATTTGCGATTAGATCGGAAGAGCACGGACATCGACACCACCAAGTTGAAGGGGTATAGTCCGCTGTTCGCTCGTTCCGTCTTCTGCACGCAAAGCAAACTCATACATCCAGATTTTCGCGCATAGTGGGTAGGTCGTGAACAGTGCGATTTGAGATTTCGCAGAATCCATGTTCTGGAATATTCGAGCCTCTTTTTAGGCTCAAGCTTAGTGCCACTGCGCTTGACAGACGCTGCCCGACCGCTTGGATCCCCCTCTCGTATCCCCCCCCCCCTCACCTTACCACCGAAGAAAACTTAAGAATTACATAGATAAGAAATGGGAAAAAAGAAAGCGTTCAAGGATATTCCATGAACGACTCTCTATTAATCTCGGCATGATTGTATAGTTGTTAGCTGCTTCTCTTCAAGCTTCCGAGATTGGTATATGATTCATTTCGCTTACGTTTCGGCAAACTCGCCTTCTTCGAAGCCGCAAATTGAAGCACCTTGAAACAATTTCGAAACAGCAAACAAGAAAGCACTCATAGCGTTAGGGGGACGTTGGATTGAGTGATCCACTTGGAGAACTGGGACCAAATAAAGGGAGTGGAAGGGGACTTCTAGGGAAGACGTAGCAACCTCCTCCCATGCGTTTTCCCCCCTTCCTGTTTAGCTCCTAGTACCCCCTACACGGTTATGACGCTCGTTTTTTGAAATGTCCATATACCCGCTTCCCCTCTCTCAGAAACAGAGGCTAGTAACGAAAAAAACGCGTAAAAACGAAGTGTGGAAGGGCAACGAGCTCTCGTCCGTTCCAAAATGAAGGTGCGACCGCATACCAAAGTAACCCACGTAGAGCCGAGAAAGAGAGATCGGCTAAACCGCGTGAGCGAATATATGTACCAAAATCAATTACACTAAGGCTTTTTATCTTGTCGGTATGATTTGCCATTGCTCGCTGTTGCGATTTCCCTTCGGTTTCGTTTTTTCTTCTTCTCATGATTCCCTCGAACTTTCCGATTCACTGAGCTTCTTTATCTTTTTACGAACATTTCTACAGATGGATACAGCATGTACAGCAGTTGCGCGCGTATATTATATCGACGGGGAAATTGTGCTTACTCGTCAGGCGTTCCCCTTTCGTAACACTCAATCTCTTTTTTTTCCCGTTGACCTCCACTTTACGTCTCTACTTCTTCATTACCTTCATTTTTATCTCTGCTTTCCATCGAAAAAAAAATGCTCATGCCACCATTATCGGAGTGAAAGCTGGAGCGCCTTCAAAGCGCATAGTCATCGTTGCTATCTGGTTGCGGTAGTCAAAGTACAATAGTTGGGGAGGGGCTTTCGGTGATTGTCACGTAATTGACACTTTCGCATCTTCCCGCCTCCAGGCGCTATCGACTGTTTTAGACGTCTGTTCAGGACGATTTTCCCTCCTTGAGTACATCATTTGAAGTACTGCCACTGTAATAATCACCTTCTCAAAGTGTACAATAGTTGGGAGGGCATTCGGTGAAGTCACTTAACTTTGGTAGTATATGGGTAACCTAAGTCAGTTTTACTGTATCATCCAAGTTTAGATAACTTGTGAGTAATATCTCGGATTGAGATGGGGCCGCGTGCAGGTTGTAAAAGTGCATGCAGGTGCAGACTAGTATCCCTAGGTGTAACCTTAGGTACTTGAGATTCTCTCACATGGTCGTAAACCTAAGCCACGCCCCCATCTACTGTCGATCCGTCTTCTGATCGAGCTGATCAGTCAGTCTGGAGTTTTGCCGAGCTCACGGGATGTGAGCAGATCGGTCTCTCTCGGAAAACGAGAGGGGAGTTTCCCGAGATCGTTGCGGACGATTAGGCGATTAACTCTACGTGATAGAGGGCTCCCCCTGACTCCGAAGCGTCGCCCGATGCGAGCTTCGTTCTCTTCACACCAGAGTTGAAGAGTGGATCTTTCCCCGTGTGGAAAGCAGTTGTGCAGTAGTTCGTACAAGACGACTACAGATGCACGTTGGCCTAAGCGTGGCTCACGCGATGGTCGCCCTTCTGTGTTCAGAAGGAAGTGTACGTTTGAACATCCTCAGGCGAGAAGATGGTTCAATCGTACAAGATGGCAGGTGAATTGCGGACAGTCCCCGTTCCCTAGCTTGGTTAAAGCCTAGAATCTACAGTAGTAGATTCTAGCACCTTTTGTATGTTGATTGGCTCATTGCCAATTCATCATTTTGTATATAACTTGCAAATAAATGGTTAATTACGAAAGTGTGTTGTGTTTTGTAATTGGGTACGGTCAATCGTCACAGCTGTTACATAACACCCACTACTGTCACGAAACTTTGGAGCTCTTGCGCCGGTTCCCAACATGGGGGCCAAGCCGGTGACAGCTAAGTAATTGACCTTTTATCTGCTGATTGCCAAGATCGATGGCGAAATGTCGCCAAGAGTGCGGATTCGCCACTGGCAAATAAGCGAGTGGTCATATCTCACGGACGTTGAGAAAGAACTCGAGAAAGAGTGTGCTTTTCTATGGTCTACCTTGATTCTTTTGGACGGAATCCACTAGAGGTAAGGGCGATCCTCTGATTTTCGGAGCTGTAGTGTGCAGTAGGTTGAGACAATAGCAGAACTTTTGTTCTGTGCTCCCGCTTCCGACTGAGGAGGGATAATCGCAGGTCAGTCGGATTAGACAGACGAAATCAATATACGGTGAGAATAATGCAAGTAGTTCTGGTCAATGAACTAAACTGCATTTGGTGTGTTCTGGGTAATGAACAAAAACCACGACCGTCTGTAGACATAGATTGAGAACATAGTTGAAGCGAACCACACTTGAATGCTGCAGTTTGGGTAATAACTGGCACACGGCTTCAAGTTGATTAATTCGGTCCTAAGTTATCACTTGTGGAGAATTAGTTCAGTGGGTTTCGAGATTTCCTATGTAAGGATGCCCATTCGGGCAAAGAGCACGTCTTTTCGCGGATGTGTGGAGTCTGACGAGACTATAAATACGGTCAAAACTAGCAATGGATTCTTATGGATTCTTCGATGGACTCAGAAGAAATAATGTGGAGCGTATCGACGAGGACTCAACAACAACGAGCAGTTTTTCCGATGCTTCATGAGTTCCCATTTGCTATCTTTCTAATGTACCTTCTAGTAGTAACATTTGTAACAATTCTTGTTTCTATAGTAGATTTTGCATTCATTTTGGAATGGTAATTTTTCCTTCTCAGTTCTTCCTCACGTATTTTTATGTCACCTTTGAATTGTACTACGTGCTAATACGTGTAGTGAGCAATTTGCATGGTCGGTCCGACATGCGTGGAAGATCTGCCAGATTTTTATGAAAGCGTAGTGGAAACGCTTATTCTTTGAGGACCCCCATGTAGTATATGGGTAACCTTAGTCAGTTTTACTGTATCATCCAAGTTTAGATAACTTGTGAGTAATATCTCGGATTGAGATGGGGCCGCGTGCAGGTTGTAAAAGTGCATGCAGGTGCAGACTTGTATCCCTAGGTGTAACCTTAGGTACTTGAGATTCTCTCATGGTCGTAAACCTAAGCCACGCCCCCATCTACTGTCGATCCGTCTTCTGATCGAGCTGATCAGTCAGTCTGGAGTTTTGCCGAGCTCACGGGATGTGAGCAGATCGGTCTCTCTCGGAAAACGAGAGGGGAGTTTCCCGAGATCGTTGCGGACGATTAGGCGATTAACTCTACGTGCTAGAGGGCTCCCCCTGACTCCGAAGCGTCGCCCGATGCGAGCTTCGTTCTCTTCACACCAGTTGAAGAGTGGATCTTTCCCCGTGTGGAAAGCAGTTGTGCAGTAGTTCGTACAAGACGACTACAGATGCACGTTGGCCTAAGCGTGGCTCACGCGATGGTCGCCCTTCTGTGTTCAGAAGGAAGTGTACGTTTGAACATCCTCAGCGCGAGAAGATGGTTCAATCGTACAAGATGGCAGGTGAATTGCGGACAGTCCCCGTTCCCTAGCTTGGTTAAAGCCTAGAATCTACAGTAGTAGATTCTAGCACCTTTTGTATATTGATTGGCTCATTGCCAATCATCATTTTGTATATAACTGCAATAAATGGTTAATTACGAAAGTGTTGTGTTTTGTAATTGGGTACGGTCAATCGTCACAGCTGTTACATAACACCCACTACTGTCACGAAACTTTGGAGCTCTTGCGCCCGGTTCTCCCCACCCTTGACACTTTCGCATCTTCCCGCCTCCAGGCGCTATCGACTGTTTTAGACGTCTGTTCAGGACGATTTTCCCTCCTTGAGTACATCATTTGAAGTACTGCCACTGTAATAATCACCTTCTCACAAGTGTACAATAGTTGGGAGGGGCATTCGGTGATTGTCCACGTAATTGGCGCTTTCAACACACTTCATAACGACCCTATGCATACATGTATCCGTGATATTTTCTGCTAGAAGTGATTGGTTTGGATGTTTTCTATGGCTTTCTTATAACGTCACATTTCCATGGTCAAATAATTCTGCTGCTGCGCCACACCTAGTAGTGGGTGTTCTGGAGTGACTGCTCTTTGCTT